GAAGGCGAGATGGATGGATGAATGGATAGAAGGCTAGATGGAAGGATGGATGGATGGATGGATGGATGGATGGATGGACAGACGGACAGATGGACAGACGGACGGATGGATGGACAGATTTTAGATGGAAGGATAAATGTGCAGATGTTGGATGGATGGATGGATGGATGGATGGATGGATGGACAGACAAATTTTGGATGGAAGAATGGACAGATTTTAGATGGATGGATAAATGCACAGATGTTGGATGGATGGATGGATGGATGGATGGATGGATGGATGGATGGATGGATGGATGGATGGATGGACAGATTTTAGATGGAAGGATAAATGTGCAGATGTTGGATGGATGGACGGATGGATGGATGGACAGATTTTAGATGGAAGGATAAATGTGCAGATGTTGGATGGATGGATGGATGGATGGATGGATGGATGGATGGACAGACAAATTTTGGATGGAAGAATGGACAGATTTTAGATGGATGGATAAATGCACAGATGTTGGATGGATGGATGGATGGATGGACAGATTTTAGATGGAAGGATAAATGTGCAGATGTTGGATGGATGGATGGATGGATGAACAGACAACTGCTGGATGGATGGATGGACAGATTTTAGATGGAAGGATAAATGTGCAGATGATGGATGGATGGACGGATGGATGGATGGATAGATGGATAGAAGGCCAGATGGATGGATGAATGGATGGATGGATGGATGGATGGATGGTTGGATGGATGGATGGATGATAGATGGATGCATAGATGGAAAGAAGGCCAGATGGATGGACGGATGGTGAGTAGTTTGTCTCTGACTGTATAATCATCTTCAAAGCCAGTTGTGGCCGACACGCAGGCATGCGTGCGAGTGTGCGTGTGTGTGTGTGTGTGTGTGTGCGTGTGCGTGTGTAGTATTATTTAACAGAAAACTGATTGGCCGACCCGGTCCAGTCACATTCTGCCACTTGGCCACTCCGTGGGCTAAAAAGCCTGGAGGTTCTGTTGGGTCTGAATAATTAAGCTAAATCTTCCCGTGGAGTTGGAGCCATCCAGGCCTTGATTTGCCACAACATCCCACATCTCTATTACCACCTTCCACTTCTATTCATTACCACCTTGAAAAGATCCCCATGGGATGTTCCTCTAATGAGAAAAAGATTTCCACTTCCAACTCTCTCCCCCTCCCCCTCCCCCACCACCCAGTGGAGCAGCTTGGTCTCGGGGGAGCAGTCAGCTCATATGATGTAGAAGGTAACATCTTTATTTCACTAACCCAGCCTGGCAGGTCTATTAGCCGGCCTGGAGCTTCCCAAACCTTTCCCTGTCAAACAGCATATTCCCAGCTGTCTGGTCCAGTTTTCCCTCCATCCCCGTCTCAATCTGGGATTAGAAGAGTCATTATAGTACACCCCCCACCCCCACCTACACATAACACTTGGTCTAATCAGAGACTGGTCTGTGAGGGGTCTGAAAGATCAGAGCCCAGAAGAACCAAACAGGATCATAACTCTGTAACGATGAGTAGAACAATGACCATCGTTCAGAACCAGAACCAGATAAAAGGTTCAGTGACTTTCTTCACCCACTCCTTTCTGAGAGCTTCTGTTTAGGATGGAGACCTTACGAAGAAGGAGGCCCACGTTCACCACCACTTAAACATCAATTCACTTTAGGGTCTTTTTTCCGTTTTCCTTCACATAAAATGAGAGCAGGTTATCAGGAGCGACATCATCTCCTCCAGATACCGACTGTTCTATAAATAAATATGTGAAAATGTCCTGGTTCTGCTAGACGACACCTTAACGCATCCACAGCAGTAATGGTGAACGGCACCGGCAGAGACTATAAAGGGTTTTACACAACTGGACAAGCTGGGTCTACTTGGGACAAAAGCACAGCAGGACTTCTGCAAGCGTGGAGCAGGTGGAGAAGGAGGTCCTAATAAAGAAGACGGGACGCTGTCCTCCAGTCAGTAAAACACTAAAGTTTATTCATTCAGTCCTAACTAGGATCAGATCATACTCTGACAAGAGCTCCACTCTCCCTCCTGTCCTACAACTCAGAGCTGCATGAGCATCTTCTACAAACTTGGCGACGTACACTCGACAGGAAAATGTGCGTAACTTTAAGCTAATTCTGACCCTGGCGTGAGCACGTTTTGGAGATGGGGGATGTGATCCAAAAACATCGGGGCACGTTTGTAGGAAGAGCGTAATTTATAAAGCAGGAACTGTGTGTAGCTATGTAAGTGGAGGTTTTTTTTTTTTTTTATTTGCTGAGCTTAAATAAACAGAAGAGAAATGGGGTAAACCTTATTTCACTGTTACGAAGGTGCATTACGTTAGGACTCGTCACAGAACAGCTCAGTGTCCACCCTGGGACTGGATCAGGGTTCAAATCCCGGTCGGGTCATGCCAAAGACTTTAAAAATGGGAACCAACGCCGCCCTGCTTGACACTCAGCTTTAAGGGGTTGGACTGGGGGTAAAACCACCAAATAGTTCCTGAGCGCAGCCACAGCTGCAGCTCACCGCTCCCCTCGGGGATGGGTCACAGGCAGAGATGAATTTCTTCAGTGTGTGATGACGACTTTATGTGGAGTTTTAGTAAGGCTTCTATGCAAAGTTTTGTAAATGAGGCCCCTGGAGGAGGAGACGCTGGATCTCAGTGGGACAATGTTGGTGATGGTTCCTCTTTATGCAGATCAGCAGGTGAAAGGAGCACCAACATCCTGTGGTGACATTACCACAAAAATCCGGGGAAGATCCAGCTCCAGATGGTGGGCTCTGTTCTCTAGCTCCAGATGTTTTCTTTGTTCCTTTCGGGAACGGGTCCAGGTGGACCACAGGGTGTGTCACACAGCTGATTTCATAATAAACTTTGATGTATTTATAGTTTTTAGCCTTCAGTTCCAGGTCTGAACGCTTCCTCTGGACAGGTGTCCAACCCTCCCACACAACCTCCAGGTGGACTCTGTGAGAAGCAGCTTTGTGATCTTTAATGTTCTCCTCACTCCAGCGTACACAGCTTTTCTCCTCTCACTGAATAAACCAGCTTCCCTATCTGCCTCCATCACCCTCCCCGCCCCCCCACCCCCGTCACACAGGACTATCCTGAGAGGCCCGCTGAGAGAGAAAGCAATCATGTGTTGTGTCAGCGGCCCGATAGAGAGGACCCAGTAATGGAAGGCCTTTTAGGGCTAAAAAGGAAAAGCTAATTATGATAAAGGGGCTGTAAGTTGTGTGGCTATCTGGGAGCCGGGCCTGCTGCTGCAGCAGACTGCTCTCTGACAGTGATAACCGGGCCGAGCCAGAAGCCCGCCGCTCTGTCACTGTCACTCTGCTGCTCGGCTCAGCTACACACTGACACACAACACAACTTTCAGAAAGCACTTAGCACCCACGGCTGCTCCAGCAGGAGACACACACACCTCAGACAACAGCAGAACCGTCTTCAGTCATCCCAACATCCGCCAGAACACGGGCCGGGACCACTCAGAACGTCTCAGGCTGTTTTCCTCCCACAGCAGAGCTACCACTCGTTTCAAAATGACCCAATTAGCTGTCAGCTGTGGGCCAATCAGAAGTGGAGGGGGGATGGATATCGTCATCCTCCCTCTGCTTCACCGTCTTCCTCCGTCTCTCATCTATAACAGGTCTGTGTTCAGACCCGGTACCAGTCACAGGTTACCAGGTCGTGTTCTACAGACCGTCCCACTATTTTAAATCAGCTTCCTAGCTGCAACCAATGCTCGTTGGTTAAAGAAGACATCCGTATGAGACCTCATTCTAGACCCGGGTCAGATGAGGAGGTGCTTCTGGATGTTGTAACACAGCGGTCCTAAACTGGAGTCCCTGGACCCCGGGATTCTGTGGGCCACCATCTAGGGGTCCACAGAACAGCTTGTGGGACCTTGGGGCACGCTACATGTATGCGAGGATGAGCTAATTAGTATAATGGACAAATATCTAGTCTGTCCACTTCACATCTTCACACCACTTCAACTGAATTCTGTTCTGGAGACTCAAGAGTTCGGTGGGGATGGCGGCGTGAAGACGGAGGATCCTTTCAGCGCTCCCCCACCATCTGACAGGAATAATGAGGGGAAAAAACCCAAAACAAGAGCAGGGAAAGACGGCTGGATTTCTGACAGCATGATCATCTGGCCAGGACGCAGCCGGGGGAGCAGTCCAGCGCCCAGGTGGGACAAGGTGAGCTGAAAGAGGATGAAGAAGAGAGACTTGGCTGCAAAAGGCAAGGCGATCTGGAAACAAAATAAAGCCGACATGGCATGGAAACACATGAAAAGCTCGTACCCCATTAAGGGTCCCTGCTCCACCTTTGCTGTAGAAGACCTGCTCTGGTTTCTTAGACAAACACCAAACCGCTAACTCCTGACAAGCTGCACCCCCCTAAATATTCTGTCTGTTCTCATCTGTCACAGGCTAAACACCTGAAATCTGATGTGTAGGAGAACACTGCCCCCTGCTGTCCAGATCTCATTTGGAGAAAAGTCCCACATGTCCTCCTCCACCAGCAGCAGTCAGCTCATGGACATCACAGGAACATGCATCAAAACCCAGTCCTGACCAATCACAGACTCTTCTGCTTTAGATGGATAGTTAAAAGATTGTGTCTCCATCCACGGGTCTGCCACCGAACCCTGGATGATGGCGTTGCTCGTCTCCATACTCACGCAGACGCAGAAGTATAAAGCAGGCTTCAGACCCTAACAGCAGGCCACTAGATCTACTCTTCTGAAACATTTTCAATAAAATTTTGATTTTAATATTGTGAAAGGAGATTAATGTATTCACAATAATGATGTTTTTTTTTTATTCATAACAACTGTATCCCTAATTCTGCCAAAACACGGGAGGTGTGGATCAAGTCAACAACCTGTACCTCAGAGCAGAGGTCTGAGTAAAACTACCAAACAATAAAAAATACAGAGGTGCAAGGTCAGAATAAAGACTCTGAACATGTCTGACTCAC